TTGTATGTATATATATATATACACAATACATATACACATAATATGTGTATATCCGTATGCAAGCATACACGGATTGTTGGTCGGGTGTTTTCACGTCCTTTCGAAGATCTGTCCCACTTCGCGTGGCGCCTTCCAAGGCGCAGTTGCACGGGGACACGGTGCACCAGCCGCCAGGAAGCCCAGGCATGAGACTGGGTCCCTCATCGACGTTTTGGTTCTCAAAACTTTTGGGACCCGGAACCACCCTGAGTGCGACTTCGAGGTCGCTCGAATGGCTTTTGGTCGAGCCATGCCCACAAGTTGAAACCTAAACCTTCAAGCCGTTAAACCTCAAGCCAGCTGAGCGGCCCTTTCCTGGCCTTTCTTGCCGACCTGGCAAGATGGTTGGAGCGGATCCCATGGATCTGGAAGTTGGGGAGCCTGCATCTTCGTGCAGCATTTGCTAATGGGGAGGCGTTGAACTCATTTGTTTGTGGCATGCCGGCTATTGTATTTGCTCGCTGCCCCCCAGATTGGGCCCGGCCAAGTTCTTGAGCCTTGCCGTGCCAGCGGGCTGAGCGGAGCTTTGGAAAAGTGGGTCGACTGAGGCCCAAGTTCATCATTCCCACCAACGATGGTGAAGATGGCGTGCCAAGCCCAGACCTTTCGTCCGGGGACGTGAGAGATTCGCTCCGGACGGGGACGGGCTCCCATCCGTCGGGTGCTACGTGCCTTGCATGGACGCCAATCCCATCATGCTGCCCAAACAGTTGCGTAGCTGGTGAGAACATAATTGCTAATTATAGCTCTATCTAGAATTCGACCCATTGGGCTGATTTGTTGACAGTCCCGTCTCATTTGCTGAGCTGTCCAAAGTGAATCGACCTTTTGCATCCTTCCAGTTGGGCCAAGAGGCCCATCGCCGGGGGAGTCTTCAACCTCTGGGCCTTGACGATCCGCCGTCCTGCGGCCTTAGGTGGAGGTGAAGGCAAAGCCGGGTGACTAAGATGCCGCTTGCGAATGGAACCCACGACCGGGTTGCGGGGTTTCAAGATGGCACATACCAAGCTTCGGGGGAATGAGGATTCCATGATTGTTGCAATACCAAGAACCTTCCCTGAGTGAGAGAATGGTCAGCGTGGCTCTTTGGGCATCACCGAGTTTACTTTGCTCAACCACTGCGTCAAAAGTCTCATGACCAATGTAAGTTCAATGAAAGAGCAACCAATTGGACACTCAGGCTACTCTTGAGAATGGGAAATTCCCTAAGATTTGGGAGCACAGTTTGAGGGTCCAGGCATTCAGAATGAGACCTTAGTGATCGAATCGTCGAAAGCGGGCAGTGTCCAACGAAAGAGCTTGAGATAGAGTCAACCAAGCTGCCCAACCGGGGAATTTTGTAGGTATTAATCAAATAAGGGCTTTGTGCCACCCCCGCCCCCACAGAAAAAGCAACACCGTGGAATCCAAAAGCCCTTGTCTGGACGAGGCTCTTTCAAAGGGCCCACGGCTTTACAGTTGCAGCTGTAGCTGTGGCACAGTTCCTGCTTTACCTTTGGCCCCCCACCAAAAACACAAAAGCGAAACAACAAACAACAACAAACAACGTTTTCCTAAACAAAACAGAAAAACAACAAACAAAAAACACGGGACTTCGCCGCGCTTGTCCAAGCCGCGCGAAGTCCAAGCCGCGAAGTCTCGCGAACTCAAGGCCGTGGCACGAGGTCCAGGTGCAATACGCGCTGCCCGAATGCCAAGTGGCGACTTGGGGCCTGGTTGGATCAGGCAGAGCCATGGAAGTGAGCTTGTCTTCATGGAATGCCACAGTACATGTCGATTGCCACAGACATGTCGATAGATCAGCCAAAGGTTGGGGATTTTGCTATTTTTGTCCTCCGGAATTGCCAGTGGCTGTTTTTTGGGATGGGCTTCACTTTGCTGTTGGAGGTTGACCTTTGTTGTAACGCCTGTTGAAGCGAATGTTGGAGAAAGGAAGCCTCGCCTACACAGTTCTGACATTACCCACATTACAAAGCGTGCCGCTTTCCTCGGCTCTGCAGATCTCGCAGAAAAAAAGCAGGTGAATACATTGTCTGATGATGACCAAACACAAGTCTCCGAGTGTGTGGACCTTTTATTTGTATATGCTTTTTGTTTGTTGATTCATTGGTTTCCCCCCCCCCCCCCCCCCCCCGGTTTTTTTTTTGGGGGGGGGGAGGGGGGGGCGGGGAAGACCAACAAACACATGTGTTTTGGCTCCACCCAGTTTCAGCGGTGCCCTTCACCCTCCGTCAGGTTTTCCAAGGGTTGGATTTGCCTGGTGCAGGGCTTCCCCAGAGAAGCGATCCGGAGGACTAGGTGGATATTCGGTGGCTGAAGAAACCGAGAGGAAAGCTAGGGGTTCCCATGCAGTCCCTGTAGTTTGTGAGACACACACTTACAGGAGTGTCTGCTCTCCACCTGCGACCAAACATGCCCCAAACTCCAAGACCTTTCATAAACAAAGCGGGCGTGTGGGTCAGAGTCTGAGATTTCTATTAGTTCCAGGCAGCACTGGGGTTGAAGTCAGAAGGGGTTCAGGGCCAGACAGGGTTTGCATTCACACCTTTGGTTGAAAGGGTTGGCCGGACCGTGTTGAATGCCCACACTGCTTCCTTTCTCCTAAAGAAACCCATATTGATATGCCCAGCTCGGGCCAGGGATGGGCCACCCCCTTCATGTCTAAGCCGCTTTTCCTGAAGTGGAGGGGCTGGTTGGCTGGTTTCTCAGGACCGACCTCGGGCGCCCTGACGGCCTCGGCCCGAGCGAAGTGCAGAGACCCCCCGGCCTAAGGGAAGCCAAACGCATATTCTGCAAAGGACAGCTGAAGCATGGTCAAGCGGGTTGACCCAAGCCTGGCACAAGCCCCTTTTCACGGTTTTCTCTTTGAGAGTTCCGGTGCACTTCCATGCTTGCAAAGCTGCAACCTTTGAAGGATCAATCTAGTTGCACCTCTTTTGGTTCCACATTTCAAGCCTTTAAAGAGAGAGTCCCCAAACGCTTTGGGCATGTCCATGGCTATCCACCCTCGCGCCTCGCTCGCGACCTTTGAGGCAGCACTGGGGGCTTCTACGGCCTCATGCGCCGCACTCGCTTCATCAAGCTGGAGGCGCAGTTCGGCTCGCGGCGATCCGACGCCGCGTGCGTCAACTAGGCAGAAGGGCCTCAAACAGATCATTGCTACAAGAACCACGCCGAAGGTGGCTTGAGATGAGCATTGCCATGTCCGGGCTGTGAACAACATTATGTGGGGTCATTGCCATGTCAACTGGGGGGGGGGGGATTACAGCAACATTATGTGGACAACATCTCATGGTAGAATTATGGAGGCTTCGCCATTTGTTCTGAAAGGACACCTCAGCTAAAACATGCTGGAGTATTTCGCAGTCATTCTGAATCTATCAATTTGGGACCTGAAAAGTAGGTTCTGTGGTGGGCTGCACCCACCTTCCCCTTTCGTCAAGGAAACAAAGTCCCAATGGCGGATTCCGCTGGTTTCAGCTTGTTTTGATTACCAGAGTCCATCTTTTCCGAGAGAACGCCTAGGGTGCCAAGGGCCAAAGCCTCCTGAGACCGCGGCGCCAAGACACGGCGACGCCATCGCCAGGTGCTGCGGCGCCTTTTCGCTGAGGATGGGGATGCCTACCGGCCTGGGGTAGAAGGACTGCCGTCGGCTTCGGTCGATGTGCGTCGCATGCTGTCCGTTTTGAGGGCACCCATTTGGGTGGGTCCAAACAGAAAGCAAAGCAAACACCTCCATCAGTGGGAGACCTTTGACACGCACACATATACATACATTACATTGCATTGCATTGCATTACATTACATTACATTACATTAAATTACATCAAACAACATTACACTACATTACACTACATTACACTACATTACACTACATTACATTACATTACATTACATTACATTACATTACATTACATTACATTACATTACATTACATACATACATCCATCCATCCATACATACATACATACATACATACATACATACACACATACATACATACATACATACATACATACATACATACATACATACATACATACATACATACATACATACATACACACATACATACATACACACATACACACACATACATACATACATACATACATACATACATACATACATACATACATACATACATACATACATACATACATACATACATACATACATACATGCATGCATAACATAACATAACATAACATAACACATACATCCATCCATCCATCCATCCATCCATCCATCCATCCATCCATCCATCCATACATACATATACATACATACATACCATTCATACATACATACATACATACATACATACATACGTGCATGCATAACATAACATAACATAACATAACACAACATGCATGCATACGTGCATGCATGCCTACGTGCATACATACATGCGTGCATGCATGCATACATACATGCATGCATGCATGCATGCATACAGACACACATACATACATACATACATACATACATACATACGTACGTACGTACATACATACATACGCAGGCACGCACGCACGCACGCATGCGTGCATGCAACATACATACATGCATACGTACGTACGTACATACATACATACATACATACATACATACATACATACTTACACGTATACATATATATACATATATACATATATACATGTACGCATATATACATCTACACATATATACATGTATACATGCATTTATTCACGTATTTGTTTATTGTTTATACATATGAGTGTGCATCTGTCTCTCACTGACCCTCACATGAAGCACATGATGGATCATTCATTATGTTGTTTTCCCGAACTCCCTTGGCGACACTATGCCTTTGCTTCACAGGCGACTTCAGGGACGAGACCCTGTCGCAGCCTTTGACCAACGCCCTGGCGCAGCTCGTCTGCAACATCTTCGGGGCTCGCTTGTGGGAACTGTGGCTTTTTGGCATGCTGGACTGAAAGTCGGCCAAAGCAAGATAGAACATAGGGAGGGGGCGCACCCCTAAGGCACCCTTTCCGCCAAACTTTGTGGGCACAATGTTCTATTTTTCCAGGGGTTATGTTTATGGCTTATGGGTATGCTTGAACGTCCAGGAAGCCCAGCTTAAGAGAGCACATGAAGTTCTTGGGCGCCCAGGTCCCTGGAATCCGCTCCCCGGCCCCCGGGCTGGAATCAAGGCGCCAGGGGGGGGCCAAGGGCCAAGTGTGGCCGGCCACCACAGCTTCTCGCCTTTTGATGGGAGGCGCCTGGTCAGATTTCGGCGGCTTGGTAAGCGGGCTGAACTGTGCTGGACCCTTTTTGGCCCAGCACTCGTCGACATGCAGCAGACAGCATCAGCTAATTAGACAGCATTAGCTACTTAGCTGGGAAGCTTTTGAATGTGATTTGCGCACCCTTGCTGTGCTGCACGATGCTGCACGGCACGTGTCCTGAGCTTAACTTGCGAAAGTGGGTTTCCCTTTGCAGTTGCTTTCCGATTTAGACTGTGTACCGGGATTGGCCAGCTCTCAAGTTTGACCACCCCAGTTTTCTCACGGCCATGTTACGCAAGTACTGGCAGACGCTTGCAGATGGTGAAAGGGACGCCTGCCTTGATATTGGTACGGTCCTTTGGCATAATCCGAAGCTGATATTAGTGGGAACGCATGTCTGAGATGATGCATGATACAAGGCAAGGGTCAGCCATCGATAGTAAGGCAACATAAACTTGGACTCCGTCCAGGAGCACAAGAAGGATGATGCTTTTGTTAGTATTTCGGGTGGAGTCAGGCAAGCCGCCCATGTTCGATGCTCTTTGAAACCCTGGCTTGTTGTCGACCCTTCCTGGTTTGGTTGATTTGCTCATTTACATTGAGTACACACTGCAAATTGACATGAACACCAAAAAGTTTCCAAAAGGAGATTCCTTTGTGATTTGAGGATTTATCTTAATTTGGAGGTTTGAATCCCAGCGACCCTTCAGCAAGTCGCCCACTATGGATGGGCTTGTGGAAAAGGTTCCCAAAAGGCCAAGGTCACACAACTGGCGCGTGTCATCTTCTCTAGCCTGGACTGCCAGGGGACGATCCAGACCTTCATGTGCTTGAGGCAGACTCGACCATGCGCACGCCTGGAGCCCGTCTAGCGTGCTTGCGCTGGGACTCGCGCTTTTTGGGCGGGTCTGTCTGTTGCTTGTTCCCTTCGCCATCACCACCGTCATCAGCAAATCCAACCCGCATGTCACAGAGTAGCTAGGTCGTGAGGCTTTTGTCATCATTCATGCAAGACATTGCGGAACTATGCCTCCTGCAACAGATTAGGATGTGCCACTGAAGCATCGTCAGAGTGAGTCTCCAGCAACGAGACCCGAGGCGTATGCTGCTGCAGTACGAGAAGAACGAGCTGCGGCGAGCAACGGCCTCAAGCGTCGGGCGGATCACATCGGAACCATTCATCAGCTGGATGTTTGGGTTGCCCATGCCAAGTTTCCAACAGGCCTGCCTTCGGCGGGTGCTCGCCATGAAAGGATGATGCGAGCCATGTGTGCCCAAATCGGAGGAGGGCGTAGACGCTGGGGGACACTCCTTTGCACCCGTTCAGACAGGGACTTCCTCCACCTGGAAAAATCGCGCGGGTTGAGCAAGGGCAGCGAGCAATGGCTTCGCTCAGGATATCCTCTTCATCAAAGGCTGCGTCATGCTTAGCCGCTCTCGGGTTCCGGTGGCCTGCCGCTTGTCGGTTTCGTTGGCTGTTCCTCAATGAATGCCTGAAGGCCAAACAGCAGTTTTGCTTGAGTTCCGAATGAACTGCATTCATGGATGTGTGGAGTGAGCTTGTATGAGGTCTCTTGAGGTGCACAGGAAGTTCTGTACTGTTGACCTGCTGACCTCTTCAAACCAAACCAGAAACACTTGCTGTTGCATGGGCAAAGAGGCAGCCCCAATCAGCACCCACCCACTGTGTGATGTAAATGTTGGTGATGCCGAGGGCTGACCTGCAAGAATGGTGCTGGGAAGGGGGATTGCCAACTGGGAGGGCCAGCCACGGTTGGAAGAAATGTTGCGGGACTGAGCCTGCAAATGGCCAACCTGCAGGGAATGGTGCTGGGACGGGGGGCAGCCACAGTCTGATTGGTGATGTGAGCCTGCAGGTGGCCAACCTGCAGGGAATGGTGCTGGGACGGCCACAGTCTGATTAATGATGTGACCCTGCACATGGCCAACCTAGTGCTGGAAAGGGGCGGCCACAGATGGAAGTAATGTTGGTGACACGTGCAGCCTCCAGGTTGGCAACCTGCAGGAAATCAGCCACATGGTGCTGGGAAGGGGGCAGCCACAGTTGGAAGTAATGTTGGTGACGGGGCTGAGGCTGCAGGTTGGCAACCTGCAGGAAATCAGCCACATGGTGCTGGGAAGGGGGCAGCCACAGTTGGAAGTAATGTTGGTGACGGGGCTGAGGCTGCAGGTTGTCAACCTGCAGGGAATGGAATGGTGCTGGGAAGGGGCAGCCACAGTTGGAAGTAATATTGGTGACGTGGCTGAGGCTGAGGCTGCGGTTGCAAGTAATGTTGGTGACGCGTGGGGCTGAGGCTGCAGGTTGTCAACCTGCAGGGAATCAGGCACATGCAGGCAATGGTGCTGGGAAGGGGCAGCAACAGTTGGAAGTATTGTTGGTGACGGGGGTTGCAAGCAATGTTGGTGACGCGTGGGGCTGAGGCTGCAGGTTGTCAACCTGCAGGGAATCAGCCACACGCAGGGAATGGTGCTGGGACCGGGGCAGCCACAGTTGGAAGTACTGTTGGTGACGCGTGGGGCTGAGGCTGCAGGTTGTCAACCTGCAGGGAATCAGCCACATGCGAAGGGGGCCGCCACAGTTGGAAGTATTGTTGGTGACGCGTGGGGCTGAGGCTGCGGGTTGTCAACCTGCAGGGAATCAGCCACACGCAGGGAATGGTGCTGGGAAGGGGGCAGCCACAGTTGGAAGTAATGTTGGTGACGCGTGGGGCTGAGGCTGCAGGTTGTCAACCTGCAGGGAGTGGTGCTGGGAGTGGTGCTGGGTCACTGCACTTTAATGGACCCGAATCCGCAGCTGTCGTCGCTGTTCGAGGCTTTGAGTGCAAGGAAGGTCGGCTTCAGCTGCCGGTCCGTGGCCCAGCGACAGAATGGGCGGGGGTTGGCCGTCACTTGGAGGCAAAGGAAATTGACGGTATTGACGTTCCTTGGGAACCAATGATCATTTAATATAATATGCGCTTCCAAAGGTGATTGCAGGGGGCTTCATAGAACTTCTTTTCAATTGAGCAACAAAAGGAGGAACTGCATTTCGAAGGATGCCTGGCGCCAAAAATGGTGAGCGCAAGGCCAGGAGGTCGGTTTACCTGGTGTGCGAACCCATTTGGATTGGTGCAGCCAAACTTGGGAAATTATGAGTTGCAGTGGCATTGTCCCTGAGCCCCTCCGAGATATCCCTTGACAGATCCGCGAGCCAAGTGCCGAGGTATCCATTGTACACCCAAGATCCACGTAAAGTCTATCTCACACGTCCACGCAATTTTCTCTTGAGTTTGGACTTGGTGCATTTGTGCTGCCAAACCATCGAGGAGGTGAGTCTTAGCAAACCACCCCCTCCCCATCTTGCTGCAAATTTACGTGGAGCGCAAAGAAAGAGAACCCTTCTTTTCTGCAGTGCTGCAGGGGCGTATGTATGTTCAGTTGTTCATGCGCATTATGTTTTCCATTTTTGCTTGGTGGGTTGCTCCCACAAAATGGTCAACTCCAAAAACAGTTCTCTTTGTTCCGGGTCAAGCTGGAAGTTTTCTTGGGATACCATCGTCCTAGATGGGATGTCAAGAAAGGAGACATTTGAGCATAGATGGGATGCAAAAGACAAAGGATTCGGACCCCAGAAGTGGATGCGGTGGTTTCCTCTTGGTTGGGCTGGTTCGGGGTACAGACATCACAGCCTTGCAGGGCAGCACCTCGGAGGATCTTTGCGCGCGGCCCTCGATAACCCGACCCGAGCTCGACATGGAAGTTTTGACGTGTCTCAAAATGTTGGGACCACTTAAAATGGATTGAACCCCCCTTTTGGTTGAACAAGCAAACATATTTTTGTTCCTGTGAAGGCATGATTCCCCCAACTTCTGGGAGCGCGGGGGAGTAGAATGCCCCTTGGACCTTGGAATGTGGAAGCATGATTGCAGTAAAGGCGATGCTTTACTCTCGTGTTGCGAAAGAATTTGGTCCCTTGTGCTTTGGTTTCCCATTTGGGATGAATTGGGATGAATTTTGTTTCCCAATGGGGAGGCGGCAAAACTGTGTAGGGGTGTTCGGTGATGTGCCTTGGGTTTTTTTGGAGGGTTCTATCCTACGCTTGCAGGTCACGCTTTGGTGGTTTGGAGTGGTGGCTTTGGGGCCCAGGTTCTGGGGCCAGCCTCCCCGAGCCTCCCAACCAATCCGCGCAATTCTAGACCGCTCCAGCATGTTTCTGTGGGACCAGAGAGGTTGAGGGCGGCCTTGGCTCGGGAGGTTGAATCTGCCCAGAACGGTGTTCTGATCGAACTTGGATTTCTCTGTCGGCTGCATTCTGGAAGCCGAGGCAATATGTGTTCTCGTTTGCGGGGCTTCTTTCACTTGGCTGCGCTTGATCTTCGCGGGAACTTGTTGACATCGCTTACGCCCAGTCCAGACATGCCTGTACCCTACAAATTTGCTCGGGCAAGCCGCAAGCCAATTCAGGAAGGACCTATCAATCTTGCCCCTAAGAATTGTAGTTTGAGGGAAACACTTTTGACGGGGGGGGGTGGTGGTTGTGAAACACGGAAGAAAGGTCTCGCGCTCAGGTTTTTGTGAGTGTGGCTGTGGGTGAGCCCCCTTGACATTTTGTGGACATTTGCCTCTGAACGGCAACAACTCATACCCCGTTCCTGACACTTGTGTTTACCCCGCTCATACACCAAACAGGTCTACAAATCTCTACC